CCTTGAAAATCGGAGGGCATTCGTTGCAATTCTCCCCAGACAGGTGAGCCACATAAAGCTTCGAATGCGTTCCGGGACGGGGAGGCTCCAAACAATCTTCCAATACTTAGCACCTGCATCTATTTACTGGGGCAGCAACGATTCATAAGCGGATTTAGTGGTGAATCTGCCGTGATAAGAAGGTGCCCAAAACAAAGTGTCCTCTTCTCGAGACAGCTTATCAACTGCAGTCCCCATAATCTTGTGTTGAACATCTAGCGGAAGAAGATCAGCAAAAAGCTAAGTGTGCCATGTTCCATCCTCGTTGATCAAGTCCGCCACCACCTCTTCAACTCGATCACTTGGAATAGGTTCCACCACCATATTCTTGAGCGGAACCTGCAAAACCCAGGAATCAAGCCAAAACTTAGTGGAGTTACCATTCTTAACATTCCAAGCACAACCGCTTTTAAGCAAAGAGGAAGCAGCCGTTAAGGTCTTCCAAGTAAAGGAGCTTCCCTGAGATGGACAAAAAAGATTCAAATTTTCTCTGCCGCGCCCGTACTTAGCTTTGATCAATTGAGTCCACAATGTGTCTCTTTCTTTTAGAACTCTCCATCCAATTTTAGCAAGCATGGCTCGGTTCGCCCTCCGGACTGAGCGTAACCCAGCTCCCCCTTGACTCTTAGGAAGCACAATCTTCTCCCAGACCACTAGATGTAGCTTCGATCTATTTTCCTCCTCCCCCCACACAAAATCCCTATTGATCCAATCAATAAACGCACACACTCCCTTAGGTAGCAGCTCTGTATGCATGTGGTACGTGGGAAGAGAGGAGATTATAGAGCGAGACACCGTCAGCCAAGCCGCCAGGGATTACCGCTTGGCCTTCCATGGAGCCAGCTTCTTCTGCATCTGAAGGATTAAGCTTTGGTACCTTCCCTTGGTCACTCGTCCATGAATGGCGTGGATGCCAAGGTATCTCCCAAGCTCCGGTTTAAGCGGAATCGCTGCTCTTTCGCTAAGGAGGAGAGCTTTGGATCTGTCGACAATGGGAGACACAAACATCAGTGACTTGGCATAATTAACTCTTTGGCCGGAACTGTCACAAAAATCGTCCAAGCATTTCTTGATAACCCTAATCTGTCTTGTTTCCGCCTCTGCAAAAAGCAGGAGATCATCTACAAAGAAAAGATGCGTAAGAGGCGGCCCATCCTTAGTAAGCTTTATGGGTTTCCATTGCTTACTGTGGAGGTCCTCATCGATCTTATGAGAAAGTCGTTCCATACATAAAACAAAGAGGTAAGGGGAAAGAGGGTTTACCTGACGGACGTCACGACTGGGAGTGATAGCGGCTGAGAGAGAATCATTCCAAAGCACCCGCATTTTGTTTTGCTCAACACAGTGCATGATGCACCTGATCCAAGAGATGGGGAGACCAACTTCCTTCAGAGTGTCTCGAAGAAAATCCCAGCGCAGCATATCATAAGCTTTTTCTAAATCAATCTTGAGGATCAACCCTCCTTTCTTTCCTTTCCTCTTCCTTAACGCATGGAGGACTTCCTGGACTATGATGACATTATCAGTGGTTTGCCTATCAGGGATGAAACTGCTTTGCCTGGGGGAGACGAGCTTCCTCATGATCGGCTTCAACCTGTTAGTGATTGCTTTGGTAATAGCTTTGAGGCTGACATTGTTGAGAGATATAGGTCGAAGCTGTGTCACAAACTCCGGGTGGTCAATCTTGGGGATAAGAACCACTGTTGACTCTGAGACTTCCGCAGGCAGAACTCCCGAGGAGAAGAAAGCTAACGCCATATCTGTCAAAGATTTCCCAACCACTCTCCAGGCTTGTTGATAGAAGGCAGCATGAAAGCCGTCAGGGCCAGGAGCTTGGAAAAGCTTCATATCGAATACAGCTTTGTGCACGTCCATGATGGTAAAGGGCCGCAGTAGACTAAGAAGCTCCTCCTGTTGAAGGCAAGGAAAAGCATGCTTCGGCATCTTGTCCTCATACACCGAGTCATCCTGAGTATACAGGGTGGTGTAGTAACCAAAAACCATTAGAGCTAAAGCCTGCGGGTCCTCAATCCAATTACCCGCCACATAGTGGCGGACCCAGAAATTTTATATAGGGGTGTCATCTTTCAAAAAATAAATTAAATAAATAATACATAAATAAGAAAATACCTTACTCATACAACTTAAAAAAATCCACGATGTGTTTTTCGTATTCGAAAATAATTGTAGAATACACTTGGTGTCTACAGTGCTCAAAAAAATTGTCTCTATCATACTAGACAACCATTCGCGAACTGATCACATATTCGATTTCTAAACTTGTTCTTAATGTAATCCAAAGTTGAAAAGACTCTTTCAACACTTGTCGTACAAACATAAAACCAATACAAATTAAGGGTAGCTTGAAATTTATTTCATTGTTAAAGTTTTGAAAATAATTAGAAATAGGCAATGACATTTTACTATTACACAGTGTTTAAATCGAACAACATATGGGTTGTAGCCTAGTGGAAATTATGTTTATTAATAATAATAGTGTCCTATGTTTGAATTACCCAAACTACCATTTATATTCTCCTACGCAAATTAAAAGATGAGAGTAGGATAATCATTTTTTCAAATTTTAAGGGTGTCCCCAATTATCAATTATAAATTTTTTGTCCATTCGTAAATTCCCACCGGGGGTTGTATAATCGTTTTCCCAAATTTTAGGGGTGTCCCGGGACACCCCTAAACACACGTGGGGTCCGCCACTGCCGCCACATCATGAAGAGCTATAATCTTGTTCTTGCGTCTTTTGATGTTAGCCTGCTGATGGAAGTAGTTGGTGTTTCGTTCCCCAAATTTGACCCACTTCTCCCTAGAACGTTGATACCAGACCAACTCCTCTTGCTCAAGAACCTTATCCAACTCTGCTTCAAGCTTGGAATGTAGTTTGGCTAGATTTGGCTGGAAGGAGTCTGCAAGCCGAAGCTCAACCCCGCGAATTCGAGCAAGAAGCCTTTTTTTCTTTTGTTGCACGTTCCCAAATACTTCAACATTCCATTCGTGAAGAGCAGCGCTTAGCTTATGGAGGGTAGTAGGTAAAGAAGACTCCTGGTCCCAAGCACCTGCAATGGTATCAAGAAGAGTGTTATGAGTGAGCCATGCTGCCTCAAACTTAAAGCCACGAATATTTTGAGGGATTTGCCCCTGGGTAGCAAAAGAAGTAAGGTTGGGGTTATGATCCGAGTTAACACGAGGCAGATGGCGAACGGTGGTGCTGGGAAAGGCCGAGTTCCACAAGATGTTGCACAGACTCTGGTAAATTCTACTGGCCTTATAGGAATTTGGATTAGATCCTCTCGTCCAAGTATACTTAGGCCCCGAATATCCAAGGTCTATCAGCTCTGCAGAGTTGATTCTGTCATTGAAAATCCTGCATCTCCGCAACGTAGCCACTGAGGCCGCTCCCGACTTCTCAGAAGGGGACCAAATGGCATTGAAATCGCTTGTGAGAATCCAGGGGAGAGTGATCTGCTCGCTTTGCTTGACAAGGCTATCCCAAAGCGCCTTCTGCTGACTGTGGCGAGGTGAAGCATAGACAGCCGTGAGCATCCAGTCGGCCGCATTACTTTGGGAGATGCGGAGCGAAATATGTTGCGAGAAAGTCGATGTTAGTTGGGTAGAGAAACGGCGGGCATCCCAGAAGATCCAAATTCCACCTTTGCGCCCTACTTCCTCGATCCGGATCACATCTGGAAAGCCCAACTTATCACAGACTATTAGCCGCGTTGCTGCTAACCTGCGGTTCAAATAATACAACAAAATCAGGTTTCTGATCTTCAATGACCAGCTTTAGAGCTCGGGCAAAAGCTTTGCTACCAGCTCCGCCCACGTTCCAAGAAAGAATTTTTAGATTATGCAAAATGGACATAGACATTAAAATAAAGAAAGAGAGGAGAGAAAAGGGACGAGATAGCATAGTCTAGTGGAGCGAAGTCACCAGATTAGTGGACTGGAGGAGTCGATACCCCCTCTGTAGCTGCCAGGGTTGTGGTATCCTGCTCCTTGGTGTCCAATTCGACATTCTTTGTCTCCAATGCCCAAGCATTCTTTCCAGGAGCATTAGTCCAAGCATTAATTTCTTGAAGGGTGAGGATCGCCAATCGCGCTCTCGATTTAGACTTTCTGTCCTTGATCGGCGACCAAACCTGCAGACCTTTGCTCGGGTGATGCTTCACTGGCGTGCCCTTTTTGTTTTGCCAGTGATCAGATTTCTTACTTTTTATTCGAACTCCAGGCGTCGGTTGCGATGGATCCGATTGTGGGAGGGCTTTTGGTGGAGCCTGGACCGAGATAATTTGCATATTGGTACCATTGGGTCCCTGGCTCGTATGGACAACTGGTGACGCGGGCATAGCACGTTTTGGGCTGGCAGGCTTGATGCTTGCTTTCGGAGATAGGCCGTTGTCACCCTGAGCAGCTGTCGAAGTGGAGGCCCGGCTGTAGTCAATGTTGGGCCGAGGCCCATTTGTCCTTGGGTTGCCATGAAGCGGCTTGGGTCCCAAAATGCCATGACCGTTGTCATCCTTCATTATTCCCTTACCTTTGTAAGAATCCTTCCTTGCCATAAGTGAGCCTTCTCCTTCCTTCCCTAATTGTTCTCCTTTCCTTTCCTGAACATTTGGTCGCTAGTATGTTGGGATTCTCTGAGTCACCACTTGAATATTATGCACTCCACTTTCCTTAATCTGTACCACGTCTTTCCCTTCTTTGATGTGTTGTCCATGAGCTGCAGCCCCCAAATCACTCTTCGACTTTCCTTTTTTCAGAGTCTCCCTTGATTTGCGACGACATTTTTTGGTAACTAACATCCATGGGACAAAACCAGGGTTGGGTTCGTCCGCTGCGGTTGGTGTGATCGCCAGAGCTTCCCCGCCGGTGATGGCAAGTTGGCTCGGAGTGTCCACCGGACGGAGCATCGGGCAGGACGTGGAATTGTGCCTGATCTTTCCACACTAGAAGAAGACTACTAGAAGATTTTTGTATTCAACCTTTTGCCATTTCCCGTCCAGAAAGATACGCGGAACCAAGGGTTTGGACAAGTCTACTTCCACCACCAACCGAACAAACTTCCTTCGCTGCCGATTCAGAGTATGATAGTCTAGTTTAATTGTTCGACCAACAAGGTTGCCCAATGATGTCAGAACCTCTTTGTGATAAAAGTGAACTTTGAGCCCCGGTAGCTTTTTTTTTTACAAAAGATAATCAAATTGATTCAACAAAGAGAGTTACATCCTAGAAATCAGCCAGACCTGGAAATCGAAAAGCCGACTCATAGTCGGGTACAAAGACAGGGCCTTTCTAGCCACCAAGTGGGCTACCCTATTGTTACGCCGACCTACAAATCGCACACTAAACCCAGCATGGGCAGCTAAATAATGAACTACTTCTTGCAGAATTGCCCCCATCTGGTTGTCCCTCGTATCAGCATGGTTGATCTTCTCAATAATCACCTTGGCATCCCCTTCAAATCTCATTTCCTGGAAACCCAGACTCTGGCACCACAAAATAGCCTCCCGCGACACTAGGAGCTCGACCACCAAAGGCTCATCAATTAGCGGAAATTGGAGCCCTTTGGCTAGAACGAGGCCTCCATTAGCATCCATGATAACTATCCCTCCCGCCGAGTGAGATCCACTCCTGGTCGCCCCATCCCACCTACAGATAGGTGTAGAAGAGTTGTTGGGTAACTAGTTAATGGTCAACGGGGGCACGGGTTGCAGGACAGGATTGACCGATAAGCTTACCCATTCCTCATACTGCTGGTTAAATTGACGCATCAAGGCAGGGATCCCAAACTGTTTGCCCTCAAAGACAACCCAGTTCCAAGACCGCCAAATCCTCCACAGGATGGCAACAACCTTCACGAAGAGCAAGGGCTGATGCAATAAAGACATCAACCTCTTGATAGGGATGGCAATTTGAACCCGCCCCGCCGGGTAATACCCGACCTGACCCGCGATGGGGCGGGTATTACCCGACCCGCATTAGCGTGGGGCGGGGCATGGGTATCAACTTCCGACTCGCTCTGCCCCGCCCCGCCCCATTCTTACCCCGTTCTATGTCAATTTTTTACCCCATCCATTCATATATCTCTTATTTTGACTTTTATTCAACTATTTAGATTTGATCTTTCAACTAAATAGACTCAATTACTTATTATATTATCACTGTTATTGATTCATCAAGTATTTTCTCCTTCGTTTTATCATATAAAGTACAATTGTGCGTGTTCTGGGCCTGGTCTGTAACCGTTTCCTTTGTCAGATTGGATTAGGTTTAGACCCACATGGAGAAGTACTATAAATACTTCTCATACTCCTCTGTAATCTGTAATCTCCTCGATATAGTGAAATTGGCTCTCTCTCGCCCGTGGACATAGCTAACACACATCGTGTTAGTGAACCACGTAAATCGTGTGTCGTGTTTTCGATTCTCGCTTTCGTATTCTTGCTTTGTCGATTCCAGCGATTTCCCGATCCGTAGCAGCGCGTTTATAACAAGTGGTATCAGAGTCGCGGCTGGAAATAAGGCTAGGTTTTTCGATTCAGAAGAATGACGTCGGTGAACATGAAGATCGAAAAGTTCACGGGGAAGAACAGCTTCGCTATATGGCAGATCAAGATGCAGGCTTTATTAAAACAGCAAGGGCTGTGGGGGCCGCTGTCTGCGAAACAGAAGAAGGCAGCGGTCGATGACGATGAGTGGAATACCCTGGAGGAGAAGGCCCACTCGACCATCATGCTATCGTTGTCTGATGACGTCATCATTGAAGTCGCTGCTGAGAAGACTGCCGCGGGCTTGTGGTTAAAGTTGGAGAGTCTGTATATGACGAAGTCCTTAACCAACAAGCTGCATCTCAAGCAACGGTTGTTCAGCTTGAGAATGCAAGAAGGTACGCCTTTGAGGGAACATCTCGAACAACTTAACTCTATTTTGCTGGATCTGCGTAATATAGATGTTCAAGTTGATGACGAGGATGCTGCCCTAATCCTGCTGGTTTCTTTGCCGAGTTCATATGAGAATTTTGTTGATTCTTTTATTGCTGGTAAAGAAAGCGTGTCGTTGGAGGATGTCAGGTCTGCTCTTCATACGAGAGAGATCAGACATAAGGCGTCCGGATCTGGTACAGGTGGTGAGGCATCAGGTTTGGCTGTTACAGGTGGAAAGGGAAAGAAGAAATCCGGTAAAGGGAATTCGAGCAAGAATTCCAAGGGTCCCGGTCCACAGTCAGGTGAAGCTTGTCACAACTGTAAGGAAGTGGGGCATTGGAAGTACAACTGTCCCAAGAGAAGAGGGCAACAGAAGAAACAAGGTTCAGTTGCCGTGGCAGAAGTGGACAACAGTTCTGAAGACGATCTCGCCTTGGCTGTAGATGAGAAGGCACATCGTGGTGATGTGTGGTTTCTGGATACTGCAGCCTCATATCATATGTCTCCGAACAGGGATTGCTTCACAACCTACGAGCAGATAGATGGTGGTAACGTGGTCATGGCTAATGGATCTGTCTGCAAGGTTGTTGGAATCGGGTCCATAAAGGTTCGTACACATGATGGTTCGTTCTGTACCGTGAATGATGTCAGGCATGTTCCACGAATGACAAAGAACCTGATCTCCTTGAGTCTACTCGACAGCAAGGGTTTCAGCTTCAAAGGAAAAGGTGGAGTTGTGTATGTCTGCAAAGGTTCAAGGAAGGTACTGAAGGGCGTGAAGCGTGGGACCTTGTATGCATTACAAGGGTCTGTGTTGTCTGGTTCTGCTGCAGTTGCATCGTCTCAGGTTCAACAGGAAGATATGACCACTCTCTGGCACATGAGACTGGGGCATATGAGTGAACGGGGGATGCAAGTTCTATCGAAGAGGGATCTTCTTTGCGGGCACAAGGTGCAGAATTTGGAATTCTGTGAGCATTGTGTGTTTGGGAAGCTACATCGCAGCAAGTTTCCCAAGAAGGGTATCCACCGGACGAAGGGGATACTGGATTACCTCCACTCCGATTGTTGGGGTCCTTCACGAGTTGAATCCATTGGAGGCAGCTTGGATTTTCATGATGAAGCAGAAAAGTGAGGCTTTCACGAAGTTCAAGCAGTGGAAGACATTGGTGGAGAATCAGACCGGGAAGAAGATCAAGAAGCTGCGAACGGACAATGGTCTGGAGTTCTGCAGTTCTGAGTTCAACGAATTCTACAAGGATGAAGGGATTGCCCGTCATCGGACTGTTAGAGATACACCCCAGCAGAATGGCGTTGCAGAAAGGATGAACCAGACATTGTTGGAGAGAGCACGGTGCATGCTCTCCAATGCTGGACTAGAGAGAAGATTCTGGGCAGAAGCAGTAAACATGGCGTGCTTCCTGATCAACCGTGGACCACACACAGGTATCGAGTGTAAGACTCCTTATGAAGTGTGGTATGGTAAGCCTGCTGATTACTCTTCACTGAAAGTTTTTGGGTGTCCTATTTATTATCACGTGGATGAGGGTAAACTAAACCCAAGGGCAAAGAAGGGTGTATTTGTGGGTTACGGAGATGGAGTTAAGGGATTTCGAGTCTGGTCACCTTCTGAGCATCGAGTTATACTTAGTAGAAATGTGATATTTGATGAGAAGTCTATGTTTAACCCCATGTTGAAGGTTACTGTTGGTGAAGGTAGCAGGAATGTTGATAAGCAGGTGGAGCTGCAAACTCTCAATGAGAGTGAGTTTGAGCACCAAGGTGGAGAAGATCAACATGATGAGGATGTCTCTGCAGAGCCAGAAACTTCAGAGTCCAGTGCACGAGCTAAACAGTCTATTGCTTCCGGTAGACCGAAGAGAGCGACTGCAGGAATACCTCCACAGAGGTATGGCTTCGAGGACATGGTGGCGTATTCATTTCAGGTTGCTGAGGAAGTGGATGCAGGAGAGCCACAGTCCTATAGAGAAGCAGTTTCGGGTGGTGAAGCTGATCAGTGGCTTGCCGCAATGGGAGATGAGATGGAATCCCATGACAGGAATCAGACCTGGGAGCTAGTCAAACGACCACAGGGAAGGAAGATTGTTACAAACAAGTGGATCTACAAGAAGAAGGAAGGAATCACTTCTAAAGAGGGCATGAAATTTAAAGCTCGGGTGGTTGCACGAGGCTTCTCGCAGAGGGAAGGAGTTGACTACAATGAGATTTTCTCACCAGTGGTCAGACATACTTCGATCAGAGTGCTACTAGCAATAGTGGCACATTATGACTTGGAGCTCGAGCAGCTAGACGTGAAGACAACTTTCCTACATGGAGAGTTGGAGGAAGAAATTTACATGACTCAGCTAGAAGGATTCGAGGTTCCGAGAAAAGAAGACTATGTTTGTAAGCTGAAGAAGTCCTTGTATGGACTTAAGCAATCTCCGAGGCAGTGGTACAAGAGATTTGACAGTTACATGCTTGAGCTGGGCTACAACAGAAGTCCATATGATTGTTGTGTATATCACAGCAAGGCAGAGGATGGTTCGATGATATATCTAGTTCTGTATGTGGATGATATGCTCATAGCTGCGAGGTCGAAGTCTGATATCCAGAAGTTAAAGGGGCTTCTCAGTGCTGAGTTTGAGATGAAGGATTTGGGAGCTGCTCAGAAGATCTTGGGTATGGAGATTTACAGGGACAGGTCGAAGAAGAAGCTTTTCTTGTCACATAAGAGCTACATCCAGAAGATATTGTCGAGGTTTGGCATGTCTTCAGCAAAGCCCTTAAATACTCCTAGCGCTTCAAATGTTCATCTATCCTCAGCTTATGCACCGCAGTCAGAGGCTGAGAAGGAGTACATGTCGAGAGTCCCATATGCTAGTGCAGTAGGTAGCTTGATGTACGCTATGGTATGCACTAGACCTGATCTTGCACATGCTGTTAGTGTTGTCAGCAGGTTTATGATACAACCTGGGAAGGAGCATTGGCAGGCTGTGAAGAGGATCTTCCGGTACCTTAAGGGTACACCTGATGTGGGGATTAGCTTCGGAAGTGATGCAGAGTGCTTGGTGTCTGGGTATTCTGACTCGGACTATGCTGGAGATGTTGACACGAGGAGATCGATGACCGGTTATGTATTCACTCTTGGGAGTTCTGTAGTGAGCTGGAAGGCAACTCTGCAGTCGGCGGTGACATTGTCTACTACTGAGGCAGAGTATATGGCGCTGACAGAAGCTGCTAAGGAGGGAATA